ATATATATATATATATATATATATATATATAAAAATTCAAAATAATAATAAATACTATAGTAGTATCTCAATGATAGAAAAAACACTGGATAGACATGAAGTCAGAATTATCCTAGCACTCTTAGCGATTTTCTATGAAAATAAAACAAATCTTAAAGAAAAAAAATAATGCATTTCATCTACAGGTCAACAAAACACCAGTTATACAGATTATACAGTATTTGCGGCACTTACTGACAGAGGGTCCATGTGTCACCTGACAGTTAGGACAGTGATACAGGTCAATATCTGCCGCTTTGTCTTCTTCCACACCAACACAACTACACAAGAAAAAAAAAACATTACAATTCCAAACAAATAACATCATATGAAGAGTTCATTTGCTATTAACAGACTCCATTTTTAACAATTTTCAAAAATCATGTTTTTTCATTGTGCATTCCAATTAATCTCAGTCAAACTGCAGTTGGGTTATTTTGATTAGGTTAAAAAAATAACTAAAAAATACAGCTAACTAACAATAAAACAATAAAAACATGATTTTTGAAAATGAAAAAAAAAACGGAGTTATCTATTTTTGCAAATAAACTCTTCATATATACCATAAAGGTGATTTCAACGTAGCTTTCAATTTTAATTTACAAAATGCAACTTCACCTGCCATGAAACCAGTCCTGACAAACATCACACTCAATCATGAACCGGGTGACATCGTAAGGGAGACGGCACAGGCAGTAAACAGGAACAGATGCCATTCTTAAGTCTCTGGCCAAATATGTCAATGTAACAAAAAAGTCTTGTAATATGGTATTGCTTCTGTTTGGGGACCACAGTTCACTTAGTTTCCTTTGTGGAGAGTCAGCTTCACTTCAGAGTGGTTCACCAATCAGCTTGCAATGTTGTCAAGACTGCTGTATTCACAGTAGAGTGTTGTATAAGAAGTATGCTGGCAGTGACAACAACTCTCAGACAATCGTAGATGAGAAATGTTTCGCTACTACGACCACTGAAGTCAAACCAGGGACTAGGTGGATACCATGGTTCGGCACCTGTTGACAGAGTGGAGGACAATTAGCTGAGAAAAATGAATAATGATCATTCTTATACACAAACTACAATAAAAAAAAAATCTACATGCACTCTAAACTCTGAAAAAAACGTATGTCCAATAGGATCAGTAAGCAGTTATCCACTTCATTTGGTTAGCTAAAGTTCTACATCCATGCACCTGCGGCCTTTATTATGGTCAAGAGACTCAATCTAAACAAGTTGCCTATTCATTTTAACACAAGACTTTATACAATAAAGGCAAAAGCACGAAAGCTGTTATAATTATATATTTTATGTTCAAAATGTGCAAATTATTAAACATAAGTCCTAAACCATCTGTGCCTAGCCTTTCTTTTCCTGATATTCATTTACTTCGATCGAGAGAAGTGTTTGAGATGAGCGACATAACACTTTTATACACATTTATGCGTTATAGATTCAAAAACTGCACATTTATGAAAGCGACCCCTTAAAGGTAATTTATAATCATACAAATAACAAAGTAATAACATAAACGGTCACTAAATATCTATGTATTAATAATGAATTCGCATAGTTTAGAGCTGCATATATAAAATCTTACACTTGGACGATGCTAATAAGTATAAAAGCTATTATGTGCAATGCACAACTAATTTCACTGTGTCCACTGGATTTGTTAATTAAAAAATAAATGTATTTGATTTAGCAACGCGGTCTGTGATAGCAGAAAACTGTTTGTTGAATCATAAGAGCTAGTAGCTAGCTTAGCTGCTAATAACATAGCATGCTCGTCAACGTCTAACTACGTGAATCTGCTGCCTACTCTTTGTGTTTACAATACAACAACGATACGTTACTGAGGAAACTCACTAATCTAAACTCAGATGTAGCTAAAATACGAAATATAGAGGTTGGGATCATATGACCCATATCAAAACAAAAGAACTTGTTGCAGCGCGCGCCGTTTCGAAGAGCTCTATCGGGTCTTACCGGGTGTAAAATGCCGCGAGTGTCCCGTGGGCCGAGCGCACCATGCCGGACACAATGTTAGGAAAATCCGAGGGCTCAGCGGCCTGCTTTACAAACAACAAGATGTTTTCTAAAAATCGTACACTTCTTCCGTTCTTACATATTTAACAGAGGAGAGTGAATAGACAAATCTGGCAAGATTTCGAAAGAATACAGTCCACAGCTGAAAAGCAAAGATTTTATGAAATTCATAACGCAACGATTTTCCGTGCTATAAATCCATCCCAATCCGCCCGTGCAGCGACCACTGTCTGCGGGAGAGGGAACAATAAAGTTGCTTCGGGTGTCGGTCTTTCTTCGGACGGTAGAGAATTCTGTTGAGCATATATAATCCACAACATTATTTCATAGTCATTATACTCACTTTAAGACTTACTTACTTACTTAATTTATTTATCTATTTAGCAGTGGTTCTTGTACATTAACTAAATGTAACACCATGAATAGCTCCTCATCACCATGGTTAGCTCAGTGTAACTACAGTAAAAAAAAAATGAAAAAAGGGTTTGATATAAAATAAATTATGATAATAAACTAAAACAAATATGGAAATAACCATTATTGTGCATTTGTTTGTTTATAACCATGTAAAGCTCCTCACTGCCGTTGTTAGATTCATGTAACTTTTATAAAGCAAGCTATTTGTTTTTTAATAAAAAATAAATAGCCTACACAAATGTAGAAGCTATACATATGCCAGGGTTTGTTTATCTGAATTTGTTTTTTGAATGTACTACGTTACTGCCGAAGTTTTTAATAGTTATAATTATTATAATAATAATTATAATAATATTACTGTGTTTACATATAGTGCACTATAGTGCGTGGGTAAAAGTCTTTGGTAAAACCAAGGTATGTTTTCTGAAGGGCTGTTATATCCAGTCTTTACTCTAAAGCACAAAGCAGTAGTTACTACGTGGTAGATTTTAAGCAAAATAGTTAACATTTTTCCAAAATATAGACCTATATTTTAAATCTATAAATCTAAATGTGTAAATATGAGCCCATTGAGAAGTGGAAGACGGACGTAACACTACAGTCTATTGTCCAGCAGATGGAGACATCAGCTAAATTATGAAGAATGTTGCTAAAACGTCACTCCTCATCGGTACGAGCTTATTTTGTACAGTACAGTTATAATGGTTACTTTAAGGGAATACAGACAAAGATTTAAACTGACAGTAATGATAACCTACTGAACACCCCCATGTCCATAAACCACTTACATTTCCCTGGTATATTATTATCACACCACATTTTGATCCATTTCATTGGACTTGTTGGTTATGAATAAGCAACACTACTATTTATTTATTAAATAATTAATAAATTATTAATTTGCTACTGTTTGAATAAGCAAAACTACTACTACGACTACTACTTTTAATAATAATGATAACAACTTCATTAAAAAGTTTGGAGGAAGTCATCAAATATTCAAGATATGGAGGAATAAAGAAAAAACAATAGTCACTGAAAAGCCATATTGATCTGCCACTAATCTGGGTGTGATGTGTTCCCTTCAGTGTTTCTGACTACTACAGCCTTGCCTCACTCCAACTGTGGCATTATTGTGTTCAAGTGTGTGTGTGTGTACTTGCTTTTTCATGCTTGACAATCCATGTACTAATTTCAACTTTTTGAGGACCTTCCCAAAGTGAAACAACTCTCATTATGCCTGTCTGCTCTGACTGAATACCAGCCCCCTAAATAATCAGCTGTACTCCATCCAGTTCCTGATTTCTCCAGTCCTGCTTTTCAGCCTCATTGCTGGTGGTCATGGCCTGGATGAGGGGTGGGCTGGCCTGGCTTCAGTGGTCACCGCTCCCATCACAGATTGATGAATTGATTGCAGTATTGCTGCCAGTGAGTCTGTGCCCTGGGCGAGGGCGCCCCGGTTACGGGAGGGAATCCCAGCTATGGCACCCGCCATGGTGCCGCTATTATGAGCGGCCTGCAGGGGGCCATTGGGGCTGGCAACCCAGGGAGCAGCCCTGACCCACATACTGCTGTCACGCCCCTGGAGACACACACTGTGAGGGCAGGCAGGGAGGTGTGTGGGATTTGCCACAGAATAAGGAGGTGAGGTACTGGGCATCTTGCTAAACAAACAGACTTCCCTTCCTATTATTTCTAGGCTTTTCTGAGCCTAAGAGCCGTAAGTGTTCACACAGAGCGGATGAAGTGCATTCAGTAGGCCCATGCTCTACGAAATTTTCACAAACCACACAAAGATAAGATTTATCACATACTGTGGTGTCTGATAAAGTTATCAGAATGCAGAAACAAATTGTATAATTGCGCACCAAACCACTGAATGACTGAAGTGACTTTTCTGGAAGAAGAAAAAGATCCCAGAATGGAAGCAATTACAATAGATGAACTTTGTCAGGCATATGGGTTCATTTTTGTTATGAAGACTTGGTTGGTTTTGTTGTGTTATTTGTTGCTTTTCCCAGGCTATAAGTTTTACTTTGTGGAGCAAGCACCTGTCATACACTTAAACACTTCTGACTTTAATTAAATGGATTCAGTGTTGTTATTGTTAGCTAAAACTAAACTGTTAAAATCATCATCACATTTTTATATAAATATTAGATTTAAAAAAACGTAAAACTTAGAAAAAGAATTTAGAAAAAGAACATTTACAAAAATTAGAAATTTCATCTTGGGAACCAGTTGAAATCATTTTAAGTACTAGACAAAAATATAGAAAAAACAGACATTAAAAAAACAAAAACTAATAAAAAATGACAAATGCACATGACAAATTTATTAAACTTGAACTAAAACTAAAATGAACACTGAAACACTTTGAAGGTAATGATTTGATCAAATATTTAGTATTGTTTAAAAAAAGACAAGTATAGGGGACTATTTGGTAGTATTTAATATATTGTAATTATCTGACCATATTTAAAAATTTTGGAGTGTAATAACTGAAAAAGCATAGATGTCGTGTTATTCTAGTATTATTTATGTACTAATATATTTATTATTTTGAATTAGCATTTATATTTAGATTTTTAGTTTAAATTTTAATTTGTTTTAATAATTTTGTAATGTGCTTTTTATTTTATTAGTTTTTAACTAGCTTAATTATTTAAGCTTTTAATAACTTTTAGTACTTATTTCAGTTAGCTGCAAGACGAAATTTCTAAATTATTTGAATGAACAAAAATTATTTTTAATAGTTTATGTTTTAGTTCACTAGAAACAAGCTAAATTCAAGCTAAATTGATGCATAAATGGATAAATGGAAGTATGGATAATGGAAAAATGACTTTTTCTAAAAACATCTAAAAAGTTTTTTAGGCAACACGATTTTAATGTTTGCAGAATGAACAATTTTTTTTCCATAGTATTTCAATGCAAGGAACATAGATAAAAATGTATGGACACAGGGCTACAATAAATAATAGATATTCACATTAAATTATCTAAGTGCATACTTTATTAAGCGTGTAATATATAAACACAGTTAATTCATGAGCATACACACAACTATAAATATTTGAGTCTATTAGTACCTGCATCTACTATAAAGTCTCTTCAACACGCTTTCCAGTCACAGGGCTATACAGATCTACTCTTGTTCAGCTCCTCAGACCTTCCCATGCAACACTAGCAAAAAAATCACTAACACGAATGCAATGACACAATCAATGAGCATGTCTACACGGCACGACACAGACGAACAGCATGCAAGAGCAGCGGATACAGTCGGTGAAACAAACGCATTTAGCTACACAACAAAACAGCAGCTTGGGTAGTGAACAATATCAGCACAAAAGAAACAGTTCTTGTACATAGAACAATGTGCTATTTAATCGTCGCAAACTAACTACGCATGCCAAGACAAGAGATCCTCTATCTATTTACATACAACAGCACTAACCAAAGCTTGCTCAGCAACCTGTGCAGAGACACTGGTGAATACATGCAATAAGAGCATAATCATTGACAGTCATGAAGTCTGGCTGATATGCTAATAATAAATCACAATGGATATTTAATTTTCAGTAGCAAAACAACACCATTGTAGCAAAAAACAACATGTTTCTTCATTGTTTTCTGAATAACATTTCACTTGATTTTATTTAAATATTTCAGGAAACTGAATCAACAGGTTTCTCATCTATCAGTGCAGTTAATATAGTTTAAATGACCTGCATTTAAGAGTTACTCCCACAGTATTAATATAAGTAAAAGCTTTTCATTCACTCCCCGTTAATGTCTTTTATACATTTACAGTGTAGAGACACGAGAAACTGAGATGTTTGAATCACACGAGAATAGCAAAACATGTCTATCTTCACTAGTAAATATGAATATGAATCATGGGCGCTTCCCCAATCATCTCACGGATCTGTTAAGTGGGACATAGCGAGGGGTTGCACGGTCTGAAATGACCCGGCTCCTGTTGGTCTCAGCTTGTAAACAGAATGAAAGAAACTTGGAAACCACTAGTGCTCCCTGATGAGCTGTCACTCAGGTGACTCCTCGCCCACACCAGTTCCTCTTGGATCCGGTCTGCCTCATTTCTTGTTCTTGAGCTGGTTGGCCAGCCAGTCCAGACCCTCATATAAACCGTCTCCACTGGTGGCACAAGTGGCCTGGATGTACCAGTTGCGATGGCGCAGGGAGTGGAGACCCAGCTTATCTGTGATTTCTGCAGCATTCATGGCATTTGGCAGATCCTGGAGAGTGAGAGACAGAAACCGACAAAACTACATATCTTACTGTTTATATACATACTGCATGCCCTCATCATTGAGGATTTCCCATAGTTCCTGAACTCATTTTCCTGGAACCAGAGTCTATAATTCCTGCAAGCACCGAAATCCTCCATTTCTCTTGAGATCTTTTACAGATTCGGTGTTGGGAGCATCATGACCTACTGCTTCTCACTAAGATATGGCAGCTGCACATCATCAGATCAGAGAGACCTTCAGCAGGTGGTCAAAACTGCTCAACACATCAGTGGCAGACCTCAACAACCACTGCCGGCAATGAGTTCTCCAAATCATCAGAGAGCCCATCCAGCCCAAAAATAGCCTACTTTCACCTCTGCCATCTGGAAGACGAGGCAAAAATGAAAAATGTACAAACTAGACTGAGGAACATTTTCTGTCTTATACGTGGCCTGGCTGACTTATCAGAGAGATCTTTTTCAGTTAGAGTTCAAAACTATGCCTCATCTACAGCATCTCTCTCCTGTGGGGTTCCCCAGGGTTCAGTTTTGGCCCCATTGCTTTTTGCTTTGTATTTGCTGCCTCTGGGGCAATTGATAAGCACTTTTCAAGGTATATGTTATCACTGCTATGCAGATGATATTCAACTGTATATCTCTTTGAAGCTCCATGAGATTACAAAATCATCTCTTCTTTTAAATTGTATAAATGATATAAAAGTCTGGATGGCAAACAATTACCTCCTTTCAATCCTTTCTAACTAATGAACTACAACCATACATACTGTTACAGCAGCTATGTTTCCATCTTCAACAAATCGACACATATCTTACAGAAACTGATACACATACTAGGGCTGATTTGAAATTGGTAGACAGCAGATGCAAAGCTAACATCAATTAACTGTTTCTGATTTGAAGAACACAGCAGACACATGAGGAAGCTCTTGCCTGCTTGTTGGCAAAGACAAGGAGTACAGCGTCTCTAAGTTCATCCTCAGCCAGCATCCTCATCAGCTCTTCTCTGGCTTCATTCCCTCGCTCACGGTCATTGCTGTCCACCACGAAGATCAGACCTTCAAAATACATGAGAAATGATGTCAAATGTGGTTATAGCGAGGTAGTAATTAATAAGAGGGAAAATAAAGACTCTTGTGGACCTCAATATGAGATCTTAATTCTAATTTCAATGCTAAATTTGTTAAGATTAAAGTTCAAATGATGAAACTTGACAAGTACTGTTTTCTTTCCTGTGTTGATGTATTCCCTATTGAAGTAAGTTTGGGGTGAGTACATTTTTAATATTTTTAATCAGCAAGGGCACCTTGATTAAAAGTGACAGTAAAGACATTTATAATATTACAAATCATTTCTATTTCAAATAAATGTTATTTTTTTAAACTTTCTATACATCAAAGAATTCTGAAAAAAGTATCAGTTTCCACAAAAATAATAAGCAGCACAACTGTTTTTAACAATGATAATAATAAGAAATGTTTCATGAGCAGCAAATCAGCATATTAGAATGATTTCTGAAGGATTACATGATATGAAGAGTAATGGCTGCTGAAAATTCAGCTTTACCATCACAGGAATTAATTACATTTTTTAATGTATTACAGCAGAAAACAGCTATTTTGAATTGTAATAATATTTTACAATTGTAAGTATTTTACTGTAATTTTGATCAAATAAATGAAGCCTTGGTGAGAACATGAGATTTCTCTCAAAAAAGTAAAAAAAAAAAAAAAAAAAAAGGGACCAATCCCAAACTTAAAAAAATAGAAATATATGTTGGAACGGTATATATACATTTCCTTCCTTTTAAATACCAGTAGGTTGACATAAACTGTTGGCTATTTATCATGGCTCTGTTTGACACAAAATCCTGTTTGTGTTTTTACAGTGAATTAGTGTGCCTGTGTGTACGAGCCCTTTTCTCACCTTGTGTGTTCTGGAAGTAGTGACGCCACAGAGGTCGGATTTTGTCCTGGCCACCAACATCCCACACTGTAAAACTGATATTTTTGTACTCAACAGTCTCCACATTAAAACCTAGTGACAAGAAAACACAATGGCACAGAAATTACACCACTTATGAGACCAGACTCGTAAAACATGACATCAAGACCTTTGTCTCTATTTAAGAGGGAAATAATACAATAATAATCAAGGGATTAAACATTTAAAGTCTAAAAATGTGCTTCACCAATAGTAGGAATGGTAGTCACTATCTCTCCCAGCTTCAGTTTGTACAAGATTGTGGTCTTCCCAGCTGCATCCAACCCGACCATCAAAATACGCATCTCCTTTTTCCCAATAAGACTCTTCAAAAGGTTGCCAAAAATGTTCCCCATGATAGTTGGTTAGCCTTTACTAATATAAAAAGAGAACATCTATGGTCATTTGTTTTTTTAAATTGACACACGCAACTGTTATACCTCCAATTAAAACACTCACCCTTTCAAAAAGAGCACTTGCTACAACATTGTACTCTCTGTAATTCATTACAAATATGCCAATGTTCCTCTTTTTAAATCTTCTAGAAACCCTTCTGGAATTTTAATGATTAAATACATCTATGATCTTTACAGCCTGTGGCTGGACAAAATCAAAAAATATAATATTTCTTTCACAGAAAGCACCACATTTCAGAGTAGGCTACATGAATCATCAGGTGAGTAAATACTGCCAGAATTTAATTTTTTAACGCAGCAGTACAGAAAAACAATATGCACACTTTACTAATAAAGCTTACTTTGCATTGGGAAAATATAGAAGATACGACAACCTGCAAACAAATGTAATCCTTAAAAAGAGCCAAAGCACATGGACATATCAGTGATATCATGTTAATGTAAGGTCATCTTGATCTAGCCGTACAGTGAGAGTGCTAGTCTGCAAATGCATCTCAGATGATTCATAACTGTCATCATGCACTGATTAAATAAATGTGTACAGAACATTTGAGTCAAGAACAATATACTTACACACACACACAAATCAGTCAGTAATATAAAATACAAATCTACTGGAATACCCAGTCCAGTATGATGATTGCTTTCCAAAATACAAAATTTAAAACACCTATATTAGAATAACTAATGAAGTATTTCTTTCTTTTAGGTGTTGACTGACAGAATTAGATGTGTCCGACAGATTCATGAGATGTGACTCTTTTAATGTGTCTGTAAGGAAGAAAGATTCCTCATCCTCCATAAAATGGTATGCAAATGAAAGAAAATCTGAGACTGTTGATTTGTATCAATTTAAATCCAACAGAAATGCCTTATGATAAACCGGCGCATGTCACATCAGGCAGTGATACTGTTTAAACGTCTAACACCTTTTATTTTTGTCACGACGTAGAGATACCATCCTATAGCAGCAAGGGCCTGCATATTGACAAATTATAAATTGCTCCGCTATTTAATATCAATAACATTTAACATATATCAACACACCAACAATGTCTACACCATATTTTTTCACGCTTTGCAACATCCCTACTCACCTCGGAGACCAACAACCGGATAATTTCAAGTCACTCCGCTCTCGCGATACCAGCGGAATAGGCAGGAGAGTGTTAAAGATCTCGCGATACCATCGAAGCGCATCCTGGTATGTGCATTCAAAATGTGAATGAATGAAACTCATGCAAGCGGTGGTATGTATGAATCAGATTGTAAAATCTCTAGAAATGAACAAGATTATTACGTATTTACCTACAATAGATACCTTACTTTGAATTATCTAAAAACTTATATAATGTCTTTATAATCGTTGTTACCATTCTCATGATCTCTAAATCATATAAAATCGGAAATGTTGTTACTCTGGTAAAGTTGGCAGGCAAAATTGTTTTACGCAAAATTGTGGTACGTTTAGTCTCATATCTCAACAATCTGAACATTTTGAAGAAGTTTCCTCCAGAAATGTGTGTTATGTGATAATTTACGACTGAAGGATCTGTTGCTGGAAGTGTTTGGAAGCACATTTCCATATTGTGATGTGATTCATTATTCAGCTATGACTGACCCTAATGAATAAGTAACCTGCTAGATCCTGCCAAATTACAGAACTTGGCAACAACTAGCTGATTTCTTCAGGCTGCCAAATGACTCAGTAGTTGCATGCCAGATTATCAGCAGTGAAGCAAAAGATCACTCTTTATGGAGTAAAGATTGTATTGTTAAACAGAATACTACAAGAAATCATGTCATGCAAAAATCGAAATGCTCTAATAATTACAATAGGGCTTATTCATAACATGGTGCTCATTCTCATGCATCAATATATTCATTAAAATGCATGTTCATATTATATTTGAAACAGCACACTGTGCCTGCTCAGACCTCGTCCAGATGCAAAGGAAACTCTGTCCCTGTGTCGCTTCACACGGTCCACCGTGTGTCAGTGGCTTTATGATCGATGCGTTTATCAATTCAGTGGTTAGGAAAAGAGAGAGGGAGTGGAGCAGATGCTTGCAGCTGCACACCAGATTAGAGCTGGGGGTGGGAGTTATAATTTAAAGGAGCCTCTCCTCTGATGTGTTTGCCAAAGTGCACCCCAGCAAACACAATCATAAGTCGGGTTGGTTAGGCTTGCAGAACTAATGAGGGCTTGCACATTTAGGCAACGGCTTTGATGTTCTGGGTATAGCTGGCTCCTTGTTTTTTCTTTCCCTTTCTCTATTTCTCTCTATCCCACATCAAAAATGGAAGGGGAAGCTGGACAAGGAGCCCAGAAGCAGATGTTTCCAGCTGTTTTTCTTCCCCTTTTCCTTCTCTTTTGATGTACCTAAGTATGTGCAATATATATTCACATATTTCCATATCCGCTAACATCAATATCTCATGTTGTATATTAATTACACTTATCAGTCTGTTTGTCATCTATCTATCTATCTACCCATCTATCTAAACACGCACCCATACATTCATCTATCTATCCATCTCTATCTATCTATCATCATCTATGAGGTAGCTAACTGAAAAATGGGTCAATGACATTTAAAAATATCCACATCAAAGGAAAAGACATCTTTCACAAATCTTAGTTAAAAACACATGCTCCATATTCTTGTACCCATGTTGGTTTCATATTGTTTTGAAAAATAAAGTTTAAATTTAAAGGGGTCATATGATGCGATTTCAATTTTTCCTTTCTCTTTGGAGTGTTACAAGCTCTTGGTGCATAAAGAAGATCTGTAAAGTTGCAAAGACTAAAGTCTCAAATCCAAAGAGATATTCTTTATAAAAGTTAAGAGTCAGCCACGCCTACCTAAAACGGCTCGTTCTAACATGCCCCCACATGTCTACATCACTATGTGGGAAGATTTGCATAACGCCGCACAAATGTTCACGCAAAGAAAGAAGGCGTAACTTTTATTCTCGCTGTAGTATTGTTGTTGCCGCCGCCGCCATGTCGTGAAGGCACTGTGTGATTCGTTGTGAAAGCGAAACTACTTTGTTTGGCCTTCCAAAAGAGGACGATATCGCTTCGTCATGCCTGGAGCTGATCCGTGCTGGTCGCTGAGGAAATACTACAACTTTGCGCTGTGGATCGCCGGATCGGCTTTCACCGTGGACGAAGCGGAGTCCAGCCCGGGGTTGTCACATGTGGTTGCCGCAAGCCCTCCGGACGCTCCTTCGTCGAATCCGCCGCCTCTGCTCACTCTAGGCCGCCGTGTGTGATGCTGTGTTTCGTTGTGAAAGCGAAACTACTTTGTTTGGCCTTCCAAAAGAGGACGATATCGCTTCGTCATGCCTGGAGCTGATCCGTGCTGGTCGCTGAGGAAATACTACAACTTTGCGCTGTGGATCGCCGGATCGGCTTTCACCGTGGACGAAGCGGAGTCCAGCCCGGGGTTGTCACATGTGGTTGCCGCAAGCCCTCCGGACGCTCCTTCGTCGAATCCGCCGCCTCTGCTCACTCTAGGCCGCCGTGTGTGATGCTGTGTTTCGTTGTGAAAGCGAAACTACTTTGTTTGGTCTTCCAAAAGAGGACACAACTAGAAATCAGTGGTTAAGTTGTATTTACAACACTGTTCCAGAACACTTCAACCCAAATATTCAGATGTGTGCAGCACATTTTATGGAGGACTGTTTCCTGATCCTGGGAGAGTAGACTACAATGCCGGCTGTTCGGACTCAAAGACTGTAAGTACGTTTTTTATATTTAAAGAGTTTTTATATTTTATATATTTAAAGCGAGTTTTTTGGGCAGTGTAGAGTAGGGCTTGTTGTTTGTCATTTCTCCGATCACAAATGCAGACATGGTTTTATGTTTACGCGGCGCGATGCAACGCAATGCGTAAAAAGACAGTATAAGTCATTATAATCCATAATTATGTCCCCACTGGATGCCTCGTTTATCATGGGTTTTCATGTTTTTGAATCATCGCTCCGGCCTGACAGGGCATCATCACATTATGGTAAGGGGCGTAACATTTCTGTCACACGCTTGAGGTATTCGGCCAATCACAACGCACTGGATAGCTGGCCAATCACAGCACACCTCGCTTTTTCAGACTGATGAGCTTTGTAAAAATCGACGCGTTTCAGAAAGGCGGTGCATAGAGGAGAAACAATAATGTACAGTATGTGGAAAATAATGTGTTTTTTTAACCTTAAACCGCATAAACACATTTCATTACACCAAATACACAAAATAATGTTCTTTTTAGAGAAAAAATAATATGACCCCTTTAATGACTGTAAGTTTAAAAAAATCCTATATACATGAGATTGTATCTATCTATCCATCCATCTTTCTATCCATACAACTATCCATCCATCCATCCGTCTATCTATCTATCTATCTATCAATCCATCCATCCTTGTCCATCTATACATTCATCCGTTCATCTATCTATCTATCCGTTCATCCATCCATCTTTCTATCCATACATCTATTAATCTATGTATCCATCCATCCATGTCTATCTATACATTCATCCGTTCATCCATCCATCCATCTTTCTATCCATAATATATCCATCCATCCATCCTTCCATCTATCTATCCATCCATGCATCCATCCATGTCTATCTATACATTCATCCATCCATCTTTCTATCCATAATCCATCCATCTATCTATCTATCTATCCACCCATGTGTCTGTCTGCCTGTATAGTAGCTAACTGAAATATTTTCAGATGACCCAGTATTAGTTCTCTGCCCTTCTGTCTTAACTGTGGCAGTGTCTGGTTGTCATTATTCTTGATGTTGTCAGTATGTTGCTTTGTATATGTGATTGGTCTCTGTCTCACACATGGGAGGAACAGCGACAGGAAATTCCCTCTCGCAGCAGCTCCAGGGTGAAATGATAACGGAATAAAGAAATGCAAACCAGATATCCAGCGCTTTATCATTCCACACCACTCTTTTTCTAGTTCTCTTTTGCTCCCATCTTTATTGCCAGAGGAAATACCATGAGAAGCAAGTTTGATAAAGCCAGCAGACCGTGGGTGGTCATTTCACTCAATCCACAGCCGCCACAGTGCATCCTCATTACAGAGTCTCGTGAGGAATCATACAGAAAAACTCATTTATTCCTAAGATGTTTGTGATTTTTGTGCACTCAGAGAACTCAGACAGAGCGTAGACATCAGAAGTGCGCCTGTATTTAGTTAGGAAATCCCACAGTGCTCCAGTCTCTGACAGTTGCAGATGCAGATTCACAGACAAGGACAAACAGTACTCAGCAGCACATGGTGCAACTTTGGACAGCTGATCCCTATAAGACCGGTTCATACCTCAATCGGCTTATAAAACTCTTTATGAAAACCTATCCCTGTTGCCCATTATGAGAGGTCAGATTCAGTAAAAAAAAAAATCTCCAGAAGAGAAGAATTATATCTAATACACTGATCTATGACCCCTCCTCTGTTCTAGAGGGTCTTTCCTGGTTCTAAAACCTACACACATGATAAACCAAGAAAAGTTTCTTAACCAAAAATTGAGGCGTTCTTGTAACATATTACGACGATAAAAGTCTACTTAAGAATGCAAAAGGCAGCAATACATGAAAGTTAATTTATCCATATAATTAATTTGATTCCCTAAGCACTGATTGCTCAATAGTAAAGTTTAAAAATCGCATACATCAGATTCACTGTAATATGATTGTAATGGAAACTGTTTAAATACAGTTTAACTCAAGACTTGAGAGTATGAATGTCTTCCCATTCTTGCATCAAAGGCATCTGGCATCCAATATTGTTCAGCAGTATGAGATGAGATGTGACTGTTTTTAATCAGCTGCAAAAAATCCACGGGAGGCACAAGTGTTCTCCAGTCGTTCCTTCACTCTATCCATCTCCATTCTCTGATTGGTCTGTCTCTATAAAGGTTAGGATGGGGTTACACAGCATATCAACTTCACAATTGTCCTGGTTTTCATAAAAACCAACTAAACTCAGACCCCTACGCAAGGCACATTCTCAGTCGATGGCCAAGATTCGCTCCAGACTTGGGAGAGTTTCTCTACAACATCTTATGAAACCTCATAAAAGGCACTGAGATGTTCCCTTCAATTATCACAGCCATTGATTCTTCATGATCAATGTGGGCAAATATCATAATACTGCACGATACAGTGTTTCAGAAACCTCAGACCTACTAGGATGGTATTTCACCATCAAGAGCGATTACAACATAAACTTCTCAAACATTTTGCCAAGGTAAGGAATATACATTAAGTGCACTTTTTAAATGAAAAAAAAGGTAGACCGTAGCAGTGCCGATATTTCTCAGGAATAATTTGTTCCTGCTGTTATGCCTTGTTATTTGGAGGCGTGCAGATGGCGTTCGGGCCATTTGCTTGGTTCTGGAGGCTGAAGATTCCAAGCGAGGAAAAAAAGACATGACATGAGTCACCTCCTCCTCAATCTCTGACTTGGCATTTTGAACATAACAGCAACACAACGCAAATGGATCCCAGATGATGAAGGTTAAAGAAGGAGAGAAATGGATAAACAGACACACTGTAGGAGAGCAAAACACACAGGCAGTCACAGGTTTTTGTCTCTCGGTCCAAAAAAGAAATGGGGATTTGGATCAAAATGGGTTGGTTACTTGCACACATTAACCCACTCTGTAACCCTGCACTCCTCACAGAGCACGTAGCAGCACCAGTGGAAGCGGCAGTGACACCGTTCGCTGCGTGCCTGTTTGAGGATGTTGTGTCCTCGGCCGCAGCACAGCGACCCGCAACCGTCCATGCTGGGGCTGCTCTTGTTGCAGATGCGCCCCTGCGTGCCCGGCGAATCCATTGCGGGCTCAGGATCGCAGAAGTCGGGCGACTTCTCGAAGTACACTAACTCACGGGAAATGTTCCGCCGCCGGCCTCTGAGCTGATCCGAGCTGGGGCTCTCAACAGTTCGAGAGTTGAATACTCCGTTGTTCTTGTTCTGAGAGTTTATGAAGATGGCAGTCAGAAATTTCTCCCGTAGCAGTGATCCCACGAGCCGGAATTCAGGAGAAACATACCAGCAGGTCTTGAACTGGCAGCTGCCTGATGTGCCATGACACTTGCACTTTCTTCTCATGTTGTCAGTAACTACCTGTTAAGGTCAAACACATAATGAAAAGAATGTGGTATATATCTGTATATCTATCTATGGTCTATATATCTATCTATCTATCTATCTATCTATCTATATCTATCTATCTATCTATCTATCTATCATCTATGAGGTAGCTAACTGAAAAATGGGTCAATGACATTTAAAAATATCCACATCAAAGGAAAATAAACATCTTTTACAAATCTAGTTAAAAACACATGCTCCATATTCTTGTACCCATGTTGTTTGGAAAAATAAAAAACATAATTTTCAAGAAAAGTTTAAATTGAATAACTGTAAGTTAAAAAAAATCCTATATACATGATTGTACACAGCTTAATCATAATTTAAAAAAATGGCTCTTCAAAATTCAAAACGGTTTTTCATTTATTATGAATTAATAATTCATAAATATCATTACATTTGGGGAGTCGCACCCCATGTGATATAAGTTGTATCACCGTAACATTTTTGACTTTTTGTCCCTCCAAATAAATAAATAAAATGAAAACAAAAATAAACATGAATTTTAATTCAGAACTTAAAATCATTAAAAATTACATTAAAATGGTTAAAAAATGCATATATAAGGTGTATTCAATTTACTTAATGTATAAATTGAATTTGCTTTTTTTTTTATAAATTAATAGATAAAAATAAGTGTTATGTCACTGATACACAATCACACCCAGTCTGAAGATATTTAATCTTTTAACAGTGAGTTTGTGGAGGGGAATTTTGGACCAATGAGAATTCGCTGTGGGCGGGGCTAACCCGAGCATGTCTGCATAAATGAAAACCAAGCAGGTGATTAATTGAAAACAAAATTTATCATGTCACACATGTTTAAGACATGGTTGTCATTGTTTGAAAGAGCAAATCGGTTGCAATTCAGATTATTAGAAAAGGTTATGATATTTGAACACATAAAACCACACCTGTCTGCCCACTCTATTATTATGAATCCGCATCCGAGCATGTATATCACGAGGAGATCCTCTTGAATCCAACCAATCCCTAGAGAACCGTACACCAAGACGGACATCGTGACTGCAGCCGCCCCACTCCCAGGTGTCCTGCAGCGGCGTGACCTCATCCGGCAGTGGTTTGAGGAGACTGATGGCGTGGGACGAGTGCAGATTGGCCGGCAGGCTGCCGTGAAGTGAACCAAACTCGGGTGTGTTCTCTCCTGCACCTGCTACAGACACCCCACTCCTCTGGAAAGTCTGAAGCTGGAGCTGGGTTAACTTGAGCCGGATTTTGTCATCATCCAGGCGACGTTTAGCTTCGCAGCCACACCCACGCAACTTACCGAGGCTACAGGCCGAAGCTACCAAGTGCACGACACCTGCAGCCAGCAGCGACAGCGAGAAGGCACTCTCTCGGAAACCTGGGACGAAAGAAAGCACTTTGACACCGCAAATAAAGCTGCCAGCAGAGTAAACAGAGCCTTCAGAAAGTGAAGTGCACACGAGCCAGCTGGTGAGATAATTATCTATAATGATCTTTATCTAAAATCTCATAAAAGATGTTTTCCATGGTGCAAATGCGTTAAACAATGACTCAACGCTGATATTTTCCTTCTTTGGCCAATGTAGCATTTCAATGCCCGGATTATAACTGTATTGGCTCTCTACAACTTCAACTTCAGCACTTCCCATGCCCCTTTTGCCATCAACTCACCCCTGTTGAGAATGGCACTCTGATGGGGCAACTTGCCATGGTTCTCCAGGGAGGAGCAGTTCCAGCGCTGGTCTCTGAGCTGGTGCTGGCATTCGTGAATAGCAACCTGAATGCCCTGCAGAGCAGAGGCTGTGACATCAGGGCTGCGCACACACAAACGCATCTGTTTTTTGGTCAGGCCTGCCAGTCGTAAACACACTGCGTTGGGGGTAAGCACTGGCTCTCCTGCCACCTTCAGGCCAAGGATGTCATTGCCCAGTACCCTGAGAAAGGAGAAAATTAATTTTATAGCAGTGATATCATTATGAAGTAACACCGCATGCAGTAAATATTGCAGAAGGCTGGTGTTACTTAGCATCACATGTGGTCTTTTTTAAATGACTCACATATGTGAAGAAATTATGACAATGAATTCAGTCATTAACGAGAAGCAGGAAAATATTGTATCAGGAATGGATGCTTTTATGGTGCCATATTCATTTCAAACAATATGATCAATACATGTTTACTGGAACGGCAAAGAAAAAAAGTGACAAATTCTGTTGCTTTTTATATCAGAAGTTGTGCGATTAAGTGCCCTGACACTCAAACAAGGCTGTGACCTTGCAAGAGGCATACATAAAACTACCATGAATATTCAAACCCCCTGCTTTCTATCAGTGTCTTGGCATGCCTGAGGATAATCTGATGAGAAAATGACTTTATGGAAAAGATTTCTGTGCAATATTATATCCAAATCATAACACGCTGATGTTAATAAATACAGTATGCCCATCGACAGTTTTGAGAAGTGAGAGAACATCCATAACCACACAGTTACAATAAGATTAAAACTGTTTCTGGCAACAATTACCAGAATAAACTCTAGTATCTATTCAATTAATATTAGGAGGTAATTGTTACTAACACCTGCTTAACTAGTGAAACCCGTACCAGCAACAGTTAGAATAGCCTACATGCTAGTTAGTATCTGAACAACAGATTCCCATATATTCAATGCCAAACATGTGCAGGTTGTTACCAGTAACAATGGAGGAGTCACTTGTCTATTAGCAAAGGAATGAGTACTAGTATGTGATGATTAAGTAGCCTTCTATTGACTGAAAAGAGATACTTATTGGACTACATAGGCTACAAATAGTAAAAACAAGTACTGATAACATTAAAAAGACACTAATTCGTTTTAGATACAAGTAGTTTACTAGCTTACTAGTTTTAGATACTAGCAGCCATGGCGCGAAACTGGAAATCTTTTTTTTTTAAATATTTAAAGTTATAATTATTAGCCTACTAATGGCCTAGTAAATTAATAATTTTAGACTATTACAAATAGGCTAATCATTAATTTGAATCACTGGTTTTCCAAAACAAACAGTCCATTTAGGCTACTCCAGCAGATCCCATGAAGGCGCCTCTACCTTTCTACTTACGTGAACGCAGGTGACAGAAGCGCTGCAGTCACAATCAGGACTCGTCCCAAATACTGTCTGTGGGGTAACTCCATTGCGCTGAAAGCTTTTCTCGACGGGACATTAAAACACCTGTGGGATCGCTTTAGAGAGCAACTGGAAATGAGTTAAATTGTTTGTGTGAGGAGCGGGGAGTTGAGCAAGCAGCATTTGATGAAGCTTGGGACGGGAGCGTGTATGTCACTGAGGAGAAGGAGAAGGAGGAGGAGGAGGGGCGCCGTCAGGGTGGGCAAACATCGCCTGAGGCGCTTGTTTTTAAACACGATTAAAAAGTAGTAAGGCCTGTCAAACTTATTCCTAAAACTGCATGTCATAATCGTGACACCACCCTATAGTGGTCATATCTCTGACTATGAATAAATCAGTTTCAGTAGAAGCCTAAACCAATACTGTCTCATAAGGGACGCAATATTGACAACAACGGCATTGACTATATGTGGATCTTTTTCGTATCAAGTGCACTGAGCAACACGTGCTAACAATATTACCAGTTTTCGATGTAGCCTATAGCCTATTTGTTTTTTATCCACACATTATAGCCTATAGGCATTATTTTTGTTTATGTGACCATCTGACATGCAAAACCGACGTTTAATCTAGGCAATTTGTTTATATTTGTTTCTACTTTTTCACACAAAACATTACATGCATTATATTTGCATGTCTGATTTCATTTTATTACTAGTTGCACCATAACGTTCATGCAAAATAGTTTTACGATCGTTTTTTAACGATTTGTTTCCCTTTGAGGTGTTGCAATGGCATTCTGAGGTGCTGTTTTAGCAAATTATGCCATTTATCGGTAGAATATTAAAAGAACCGATAACTGATAAGAAAAGTATAAATAATGATGACAGACAGACAAACAAACAAATAAATAAATAGGCGTACGGTTAATTCAGCCAACAGAAATCTATCTAATTTGAATAGCAGCTTTAAAATGTATGTAAAACTAAAGTGACAATCTGTAATAACCACTTTAAATATAATTACAGATGAATAAAATCGAATGTTGAAGTATTAATTATTAAAATTAATAATTCATTCATTAATAATTCTGAAACTCATAAAATCAAGTAAAATGCTATGGATGGAAAGCTACTGCAATTCATTTTCACTGCCCAAAACAAAACTGCCTCTCTGCTGAATCGCTGTTGTATTGTATCCTAGAACCTGTGACTTGTTAAATGTTACTTATCATTTGCAGTGTGTGCATTCTTTGTATTTACTTATTGATCTATTTTTCTTGTTTTCTATTTCTGTTTGTTTATAAAGTAGGCCTATTATCTGACCTGTCTGCACTGCAGAACTTGTGACAAGACATTTTGCTCCCCGGTAAACGTATATGTGAACTAGGAGCTAAACTAAACTAAAAGTCATTCATAATCATATAGGCTACAATACGCAGGGCAGCAGCAGGCAAGCGTGCGTTTCTTCTTGAACAACGTTCATGTTCGCCCATCCTCCCACTCAGAATCAGTTCAAACAGTTCACCGTGCAGCCTAGTGACGTTTCACTTTAATTAAGCCCACATTCATCATTTTCCTCGACACTCTTAATGAGAAGGCTTTGCTGACTGTTGCTGCAGATAGCCTAGAGCACTACTGGAAAATAGACTTATTTCGTTTGTTTGTCTATACACTTCTGAGTTTGTGCGTATAATTAGTCCCATAACTGACCATGATGGAGAGGTTGTTGTCAAGGCTCATTGAAAGTGATACGCAATTACATAGTGGGCCAACAAATTATGCATAATGCACATAATAAATTTGTTCAATAGACAAGCTGCTAGTGTTTTTTCCTTTTTTCATGTAGCTGCAACGTAGACATGATGGCACGACAAGAAGACTTGAATATAGTAGGCTACTGATAAATGTATGAATAAACCAGAATATTCGAGGCATTAGCAGTTTACAAGATTAAAGAATTATCGTGCTGGTGGTCAGCTATGCACAGCAGGTGAAAAAACTCTTTAACTGACCCTAGAACTTGCTTCTTATCTTTATCAATATTACTATTAACAGTAGTAGAACTAGGATTAATGTCACGAAATTGAGTTAACTCCCCCCTTAACCATTCTTAACACCGATTCCTGACAACAGTTCTTGGTTTTTGGGCTATTCTCGAAGATCAATTCTTGTATTGGAGCTAATCACCTCTATTCCTCTCCTTAAGCTCTGGCAACGAAAAGTGCATTAGCATTTTGCCATGGCGTGTATATCTAAGTGGCTTAAAAAGTGATTTGAAGTTGATTTGTATATAAAAGGCGTCCCTTTAACCGGATTGCCGCTAATCTGCGCCACATCGCACGAGTGTTTCAGGAAAACCTGTTTAAAATCCTTCAAGAGTATAAAAGCAGGCTAAACCCAGAAAAGCAGCCCTCATTAAATACCACTAACAAAAGCGCACTTCCTTCAGTTAGCCATTTACTCCAATCCCTCAGAGAAAAAAGTGCTCTCTCTCTTTCTCTCCGATTCTTTCATGGTGACATCAAACACCTGTATGTGCTCAAAATACGCTGATTTAATATTTGCCAATTGCTCGTAATTCTTTGCGCAGACGATGCCATAAATGTATGGAGTCAAAACTGACAGCAAAATACTATTTGATTCGTGCCTTTACTGACCATATGCGATCAAGGGAGGTCTGCAATCCAGATGGTGAACAGTTTTATCTAGACTCTTTGGTGTCACAATTTAAAGTCAGACGTGTTGAGTTATTTATCTGTAACGATTTCTTGTTTTATTCGTTCTCTAAAATGTAAAAAATGGTAAGAATAGCCTATTAGAGATGTTGGAACGACTTGCAACATCAGTGAAACTTCTTAGAAAGTAGTTACCGGGGTTAAATTACCATTAGAAGTTCTAAGACTGTAAACAAAATTCAGATTTATGCGATTAATTTTAAGGTTAAAAGATTTGTAACGCTGTCTTTTGTTGATATGTGTCTATAAACCGTTTGCTATTAACCTTTTTTAATTAAATGTTGATGTTGAAAAGCGATGATATGATGGAATAATTATTGTGAACAAATTAATTAGATTACCATAATGAATTCACATCCAAAATGTAAAATCCCCACGTTTTCTATTGCTGTTACAACCCAACAAATTTAAACGGTTTGGGGATGAATTATGGATTTTAACTTGTGGCAGACAATTATGTAAATATATCGAAATATGAGAGACACACAACACCCAAAAGACGTTGAGTTACAGACTTTGAAATCAAATGTGTTACTACACTGGTCAAGCTCCATTTAAAACTAGAAACTGAAGCAGCATTAAGCGCTGTCTCGTGTCTTTAATATTCTCCTTTTCATTTAACCCAGATTTTTCACCATGATTATAGCATGACGTTTCCACTTGATGTGCTTTATTTAGGCTAAACAGTACAGCCTCTGCCTGGTGAGTGCAGAGCGCAAGCATGGACATCTATAAAAAAAATTACGCGCAAGAGGGAGGAGACGCAGTTAAGGGAGTAATGCATGCAAGCACTCCGGGTAAAAAGGCCAGTTTAGATGTTTTATATTCCCCTCTTACTGTTACCGCGTCGCGACACCATCCACGCAGAGGGAACTGAAGACACAAGTGGCGCGCGCGCACACACCCACTGCAATGAGAAGGAATAAATCTGTTCTGCATCTACGGAAGACTCCTGAAGGAACTGCATTTTATATGAATTCGCTTGAATGTATCTGAGGAATCTCTGGACGAGGATTACAAAATGATATGTAATTTAAAGTGCCTATAACGGATCCTTTCTTCATCTCCTCTCCTTTATGTCGGGGTTTGCCTCCTGTATTCATTGTGCCTAATGAGAAGAATTAAGCTATCCGTCCATTCAGTTCTACTCAAAAGGAGGGAGGAAAAAAAACAGAGGGAGATGAGAGCAGCAAATCCCTTTTTTATTCATCTTGTAGCGTTCAATAAGTGAACAATGTGTCGCCTATCAGTCACCGAGGGGATCAGGTCTACGGGACTGTCCCACGCGCTCAGTGCTGTGAGCAGAGCATCACTAACACACAGACTGTAAGAGCAGCAGCAGCAGCGGCGGCGGCACTGGCACTGGCATCCCATCCAGGACCCTTTCTGTGACTTCTACGCTGATTTTATGAATAAACTTTGACCCACGCTGTCAGTCGCACTGGAATGTGGAGTGGTAAGTGGATGCTTCTTGCAACAAACTCGCAATTTATTCAATGTTATAATGTTTAAATAAAGGTGCAGCCTTAAGAAGCATCTTATAAAAACATGCATGGTATGATTATTTGGAGACTAAGTAATTTGGAGACTTCTTTGGAAAAGCGTATTTATGTTCTTTAAAGCATGAGACGGTTTTCGAAAAAGCTAGAAAATAAAAAGTTATTTAAAAGGTTATTTTATTTGGATTCTCATCATCACCTGTGTTTTTATTTATTTATAGATTTGTTTAAATGTAGGCTGATATATTTTTGTGCAGACTGATATGTGTTATTTTTGTTGAGACGATTACAGAATTGTTTACTAACCGTATTTTGATACTAATTTAAAACATACACATCACACAAAATTAAAAATGTCCTTGCATTAAAAGCTAAAACATAAATATCAATCCTAATGTATGTGTAGGCTACTACCCTAATGGTTTTCCTATTGCTTTTAATTTAATAATTGTCAAGATGCTCACTAGCTCCTCTAATATAGAAAGTTCCTGACATCGTTTATTTTTGCAGGAATTTGATTTGAGCTTAATTGGTTAACTTTGCCCTTCCAGATATCATGCGGGTACTCGCGTTGCTTCTCGCAGTCAAAGCGGCATGTGTCCTCCTGGTCTCCTCTCTCACTGGCACAGTGGCGGTGAACAACAGCGGCCGGTGGTGGTAAGATACAGCAGGCCCATAATATATATTAGGCTATGAGGTATTTAGTAGGCTACATATGTAGTACGTTCATATAGAATGCCAACAACTGAAGCTTTTTCTTTTGTAAGCTGGTGCACAATATCTGTGATCAATAACTAGTTCAAAGTCTCCTAGATCTTTAGTGCATACAGCAGTAAATTAAACGATCAAACCTGTTAGACAAGCTACAGATGTCATTTAGTGGTTGGAGTGAATCTGTCATTTACTTTGTTAGTAAACAGTTGCATTGCATACGCGGAGCTGTAGCCTACTGTAATTTATAGCCTACCTTTATTTTAGAAAAAGAAAAAAATATAATATTAGGCCTACTGATACAATAAAGTAGCGCGAAGTTATGTTTCAAGTAGAGAAGTCAAACTCTGTTCCCAAATAAATAAATGCAATCTCATTTAGCCTGTTTACGCGGAGCTACTGC